TATATATTTATAAATATTATAAATAATTTTACTTATTTTTTTTTTAAAATTTTAATAATATTATCTAATATTACTAATAAAATATATTAATTTAGATAATTAATTTATATTTATATTTAATAATTAATTCAGATATAAAACTAAATTTAAATATAACAAATTAAATCTAAATCTGAATTTTAATTTAATAGATTAGATTTAAATCTGAATCTGAATTCAATAGATCAGATTAAATTCAAATCTAATTTTAAATTTGATTTGAATTAATAAATCTGATTTGAATTTATATAGAATATTAATTAATATTAATAAGATCAAATAGGAATTTTACAATAAAAAAGAAGAAAATTATAAATTACTTTTATACTAAATATAATTTTAATTTAAAATAAATTTAAATATATTGTAAATTATTATTTAAAATATCTATTTCTGAAAATAAAATATTTTTTATGAGTATTTTAATGATATTGAGAATTAATTATTATTTATTAATAATAATAATTAAATAAATGATCAAGAAAAAATTTAATAATTATTTATACAACTAAATTTTTTGATTAAAAGAATATTATTATAATTTTATTATAATTAGTTTTATAATTTATAAATACAACATTTTTTCAAAAAAATAATTCTATTAAAAAATAAATTGAAATATCTTTAATTAGTAATAAAAGTACTTTAAATGTATTTATAATAAAAAATTAAAAAGATACTGATATATTTGAGAAAATTAAAAATAATTGCATTTTATAAAGAAAATGAATTTAGTATTTATGAGTTATGCAAACAATTTTTATATTCAACATAAACAATTATGAAAATAAATAAAAAAGATTTAATTAATATATTATCAAGAAATTTTAAATTACATAAAGAAAAACTATCTATATATCTAAAATTAGAAAAAATTTTATTAGATTAGATCATTAAATAATGGTAATTACAAAAAGTTATTACTTAAATATTAATAGCTATAAAAGCCTTTATACTTGCTTAAAATATAGATTTTCAAAATTTACCAAATATATAAGCATTTAAATTCTCAAATTAATAGTTTGATGAATTTTAAATTAATATAATTTATCAAATTAATACTATATAATTGTTATATAATATTTATTTATGAATCAGAAAAAAATTTAAAGTTTTTTTAATTATATTTTAAATAAATATATTCAGTATAATTATTTTTTGTATTTAATTAGTAATGGAAATAAAACCCTTCTTACCTTCAATATATTAAATTTAATAATAGTTAAAAAGTAAAAAACTTGTATAATAGTATTTAAACCGTAGATAATGAAAAAAAATCTTACTGTAATTTTTAGATATATGATTGATAAAACAAATTATTTCTAATATATATTTTTAAATTAAAAAATATATCTAAAGAAAAAATTTTCTAATAGTATATTTATTTGTATAAATAATAAGAGTTGGATTAATAAAAAAGAAATAATTTAGTAGATTGAAAATGTTTATGCTAAAAAAGTTTTTTTTAAGTAATTTATGATGTTTTTAGTTCTAGATTTATTTTATATACACTTAATTGATTTTGTTAAATATTAACTTATTATATAAAATCCAAATATAGCTATAATTCTTAGTAGATTAACATTTAAATTATAACTATTAGATGTTAGTATTAATAAAAGTTTTAAAATAAAGGTATAAACATATAATCTTTAATTTTTATTTTATATATATATTTTAAATATAATTTTAATAATAAGTTTGTATACTATATAATCAATAGATGTTAAAAAAATTCATAAAATTATATCTTAAATTCATATTAAAAAACTATCATATTTAAGTATAAGAGTCTCTTGATCTAAAATAATTAAAATTTATTTAAATATATATTTACTATAAATAATATATTAGAAAATAAATAATATTATTATTAAATCTCAAATATTTATATTTTATATATTTATTAAATTTAAATAAATTTTTGTTATAAATAAAAATTATTATTAATTATAAAAAAAAATATTTAAATTTAATAATTTAATAATTTATTAATTTATTAAATTAATAATATTATTTTTAAAATAATTTATTATATATTATTTTAAATATTTATTTATTTTTAAATATTAAATGTAAAAAATATTATTTAACATTTAATAATTTAATATTATTAGAAATGATTTTAATAAATATATAATTGTATTTTCATTTAAATAATTTTATTAATTTGTATAGTTTTAAAAAATAAGTATATTATAGTATTTAAATGTTTATTATTATTATTAAAATATTAATATTAAAATACTATAATATACTTATTTTTTAAAATTATACAAATTAATAAAATTATTTAAATTTACTTTTATAAAAAATTAAAAATATTTAAAAAATATTTTTTAAATTAATTTTATAAATATATATTATATTTTAATAATTTTATTATTATAATTATATAATTAAAAAATTTAAAGTTATTTATAAGCTAAAAATTTATAATTTTTTGATAACTTTATTAATATTTAAGGTTGCTAAATAAAATTTAAAGTTTTTGCAAGTCATCTAAATGGTAAAAGGTAAAATTTATTAAAATTATATTAAAAATTCAAAAAAAGATAAAACTATATTAAAGTTATATAAATAGCAATTAGCAAAATAAAAGTTTAGACATTTTGCTAAATTTAAAATAAGTTTAGATAATTAATCTAATAATATTATAAATTTATTATAAAGAATTACTTTAATTATTATAATTTTTACATTTTATTAAGAAATTTTAATGATTTTTATTAAGAAATTATTATAATAAATTTTTTAAAATAAATTAAAATTGAATTATTTTAAAAACTACTTGAAAGTCTTAAGATATTTTATAATAATGTTGATAAATATATATTAAACTTAATAATTAGTATCTTATTAAAATTAATATTTAAGATTTTATAAAGAAACTAATACTTTTTTTTTAAGTTTGAAGGCAAATAAATTATATTAAATAAATTTTTATGTAATTAAAAATAATACATATTTATTGATATATTTTATTATTATTGGACTTACTTTGAATTATAAATTTATAAATAAATAAATTGATTTCAAATAAAAGTAATATCAAATTCACATTTTTTAAATTATATTAATTTAATTTTAATCAAATACAACTTGATAGAAAGCTCCAATAAAATGAATATAATAGTTTTATTTATATTTTATAATTAATAACTTACAAAATATTTGTATTTATATGTTTTTAATACTAATCAAATCAAAGATTGTTTATAATTGTTTACAAAAAAACTTATTTGTGCATCTATATAAATTTTGAAAAGAAAAATGTTTCAGATAGGATAAAAATTGTTAGCTCAAAAGTTAATTTAAAAAAAGAATTTATTTTCGTGTTTAGATACTTTCTTCAAGGTAGTGTAAATAGTTATAATAAATTACAAGTAAATTATAATAGCATATATGAATTTTTCAATTAGTATATGAAGAAATGAAACTATCATAGTAAAATAAATATGTAATAATAACATTTACTTAGTTTGCTATAAATTTTTTCTTCGTCATGTAAAATGGCACAGACAATTGTCACCTGATTTTCAAAAACATTTTTTTTTTAAATCTCATTCCAAAAAATCCTTAAAAGTTAAGTAATCAAACATGGTGGTGTATCGATTGTTCCTCTCCGAAGGGATGAAACTGCATCATCTAAACTCAATTTTAAACTTAAAAATTTTAGTTTTTTTTTTTTTTTTATTCCAAATGTGAAACATGAGTTGCATGTTTCAAAATAATTTTTTCCGAGATATGAAAAGTAAAATCTACATTTGATTATGTAGAACATCAACTTTTTATTTGCTATACAACAATTCTCACTACTCACACTAAAGAAAAGTCCTTATATAATAGATCTAGAATTACGCCGTTAAAATCGGTACTTTGTTCGTAAATTTCTTTCTTTTTGATTTAAGAAAAAAAAAAAAGAAAATTATTCTAATTTTCACGTATAAACATCAAAACATGTCATCATACGTTACAATTTTTCTTTCGCAACACAAATGAGATGGATCACTCCATTTATGAACGTAACTTTATTTTCCTTGTTTTTGTCCATTATCCAAAAAACATCTCTTTATAAACATTCTTTTTAAGGACTTATTAATCAGATATTCATAATGTAAAAAGATATTTCTTAAAATAGCAACCACCAATAACGATTATAGATCCGCGGAACAAAGTAATGTTTCTTGGGTATTTTGAACACTTGCTATTATTATATCACTTCTATTGTGAGCTATATTAAGGATGCATTTTCTAAATGTTTCGTAGACAAAAAGTTTATACAAAAAAGAAACACAAAACCGGGAACAGGTAACTTTATTTAGTTAAAAAGTTTTTAATGCAAAAACTTCCTATTGGTTGATTGGCCGTTAGCGTTGCACGAAATTTAACCAGAACCACTACAGCACTTTGTTGTGACCTTTGTAGATCACCAGAAAAAAAAAAAAAATTTAATTACAAATATAACAAATGTATTACCACCATCCAAAATCACAACAATTAAATTATAAACAATGAAAAATATTGCATAATTTTATATTGATTTACATTTTTCGAACACAAGAAATTTCTTAATATGAAACGCAAAATAATAAGTGTACCGATAAATTGTATATGAGAAAAATTAAGATAAATATCGAGGGGTAAAAGGACTTGACAAGATTCCTTTATCAAAAGTTAAATTTTGATCTATCAAATTAATTTTAAAAAATTGAAGGGAATATTGATTATTCTTCTTTCATAAGTTATAATTTTTTTCTTCTTTTCAAAAAGCAGTTAAATATAACAAATATAGTATATACTTTATTCAAAAGTTGACCTTTTGTCCCACTTTTCACTTCTAAAAAAAATTGTAAATTTTTTTTCTTTTATCTGCTTTTAATTTTCTCTTCAATTTATCCTTTAATTTTTACCCTTTAATTTAAATCCTTTCTTTCGATTCAATTTTTTTAAAAAAAAAAATGCCAGTTGGAACTTCATCACTTAGCATTAAAGCTCTCCCACTAGAAGTGATTCATAAGGAACGAAACACAACCTTTTCGCAAATGTTGTCACCGTCATCAATTTTGCCCACAACATCCCTTTTCAAATTGCATATTTCAACAAATTCCAATACAAAATTAAAATATGAAATTAATGTACAACAATCAAATAACCTTATGCAAAGATCGGGATTATTTTATGATTTATCAACGCAATATAATCATTACGCTTCTCAAACTTCTTTAGAAGATCATTTAGCGAATTCTAATGGATTTGCCAACAGTCCTTCATTAGAAGATTTGGCACAAGAAGCTAATGGGTTACCAATGTTATGTATTGAACTTCCAAATATTCCGATTGGAATAATTGAGGATTTGTTACAGTGGTTATTTAATAATACTGAAATCAAAGCGGATGATATCTTGGCTTCTACTTTGGCTTCAAACATTCAATCAACTAGTGATTTCTTCAGTTTATTAAATTTCATCACTTTATTGGATTTATTTGAACCTTATTGTAGCGTAATTGATGAAATTTTGGTTTGGTATTATTTCGGTTTAAATGAGAAAGAAAGGAGTAATGAAATTTTGAAGAATGAATCATTTGTTGAAGGGGTTATTCCCGCTAGATTTGTTAAAAGGTTGGCCGAATCCGTCAATGAATTTGAAGAAAAATTTATTTTATCAAGTTTCTTTAGGGGAAAGGTTCCTACCGAAGAAACCTTTTCGGAAAGATTTGTCGCTGATCCCAGGGTTGTTAATAAAGGACGGGAAAGTGAATTTGAAGAAATATTTCTAAACGATGATAACGTTACGAAAGCTCATAAACGTGCGTCGAAGCTTTCTCCTCTTGATCTCGCCGAACCTCCTACCCCATTGGGTTCCGCTTACTTTTGCATTAATCCAAATATTCCCTTTTCTCCAACGTTTCAACGCCTTCTTTCCCATACTCCAAAAATCACAAAATTCACTTTCTCAACTTCCCCTTCGTCTGATATATTTGAGGATGTACCTTTAACCGCTGGATTGTCTGTACCTCCAAATACGCCCAATTCATCAGTCCACCCTTTCGTACCTCCAACAAATGCGCCAAATCCATCATTTCGCTCTGTAGTACTCACAAACACACCAAATTCATCAGTTCACATTGTCGCACCTCCAAATACTCCCAATTCACCTTTTAATAATATCGCTCCTCCGAATTCACCAGCAACCCCATCATTTTTTACTCCAATAGTTCCTCCAAATACTCCAAACGCTCTAATTTCACCAACGACTACAACATCATATTCTGCTATTAAAATTAATGGTCTATTATCTCCTACATTAATTTCCATTTCACCTTCTTCAACACCAATCACAGCACCTCCAAATACTCCAACTTCTCCATTTATTTTTCAATCAAATAATAATTATAATTATAATAATGTTAATTGTGGTAACAAGAACTTTTCCAGGAATTCACGTGAAAAAAATGTTACCATTAATTCAGTGTTGGCCAATTCATTAAATAACTTGTATAAATCATATTGAAGATTGTGGTGAAGTGGAATCTTCAAAAATAATTATTAATTTTTAAAGTTTTATTATATAAGTGCGTAAATGTTTTGTTTGTTCAAATAGATTGTATAGCTTATTTTATCTTACTTTAATCCGAATATTTGTGCAAATGATTGTTTTATTTGTAATAAAGTACATTTTTTTCTTTATTTATTTAAATTGATTTCGTGATCTTTTTTATTATAATAAAATTTGAATGCTTTTTACGCGTTCAAACCTATTAGGATAATTACATTTAATTACAAAAATCCATTTCCAGAATTTGCACCTGCATAATAATGAAAAATTGAATATTATTGTTTTTGTTATAACTATCCCAACACCCTGATAAATCTACGATGAAAATTCAAATGACTGACTCACGCACATACAGTATAAAGGATCAGCACGACGCTCCATTGGCCAAACCCTTTGACAATTGGATTGATTAAATACTTGGTTAAGCTGGGTTTTAAATACTTCCAATTATACAAAACTGGGGTACTTCACTTCGCATATATATTAACAATACATCTGAACAATTAATTACTTGATTTAATCATCACGTGTCTCAACAAAAAGTGGTAATATATAATTAATGCTAGACAAAATGCTCGGTAAACTCATATTCTATTATTGAAGTGATTTTCCGTTGAGAAAAGAAAAAAAAAAAATAATAATAATGTAAGAGATATATATAATGTATATCGGTGCCTTCCGCGACATACATAATTTGCTGTGCATTTTTCTGGATTGATTATACAATCAATCGGTTTTAACCACTAAAAAAAGACCATATCCCATATTTGTGCTTATAAGAAAGATAACATTATTTGATGTAACCTTTCGATTAAGTGTTTGGAATAAATCCATCAAAAGATTTCTCGTTTGACAAATTTCATACAAAATCAACTTGAGCCCTAATATAGACTAATCCGGGGAAATGATCATAACTTCTTATTTTCGAAAATTCTTTCATTTAAAATATAAATTATTTATTTTTATTTATTTTTTTTTTTTTATGTAAAAAATCTTATCAACAAATAATACTGCATGTATTGATTAATTAAAAAAATTTGTGGTTATAAGAATATCTATGTAAATCGATGATCTATATTATCCTCTTCGAGTACGAAGGTATTAAAAATAATGTACAATGTCACACCGTCATGATTTTTTTTTTTTAAAAAAAAAAAAAAACTTGTTTCCTCAATAACATAAACAGGTTGTATAATAAATGATTAAATAGGAATTAGTATGAATGGTCAGGCCAAATGATTTAAATGAAAGAATAACTTGTATTAATTCCTGTTTAAAAAAAATTTTTTTTTTTCTTCTAAAATTTATACTAACGAACATTGCATTTTACATGCAAGTCAACAATCCACTCATAAAAGACCATTTAACAATATATGATGAACAACCGTGTTCAATTTTAATGGTTAAGAATTGTTTTAACTTTACAAGTGAGGAGATGGAACGAAAAAAGTGGCGGTAGATAAAAGAAAAAAAGAATGATCCGCGTGAATTTCTCATTTGTGCACATGCCATTTCTGTAATTGTTCGTAATCTTTAACAACGTATTAATGTATACCTTTATATACATTTCGATATTTCAATTTTTTTTTTCTCAAGGCTGCATTTGATTATTGTAAAACAAGAAAAAAGGCTCAAAAATCGTACCTGCCCGATTGATATGATCTCTCCACGCACCCATTAATAAAAAAAAAAATTTTTTTTCTTTCATGTAACGGACACATTTTTTTTTTTTTGATTAATATTGTACAATCATCCAATTATGATACTTAATTATTCATTGTTTATCATTATATTAAAGTTTACAAAGCAATGAATTTTGTCTTTTTTTTTTTCTTCATGCAAATGCAAATGCAAAATATTTTATAATATACAGTCATTTGACTTACAAATAAAAAAAATTATGAATAAAGAAATCTGGGCTGGGTATGAAATTCGCTTGAACTTCAAGTAACCTAATTCATGACGTCACACAATCATTTTGGATCAAAAAAATTTTTTTTTTGTGGAGTTACAGGTAAGGTAAGATTAGTATTAAAGAAGGGTGTTTGTTAAGGTGACTGGATGTAACAGTTGATGTATTAGAACTTTGCTCAACTTTGCATAAAAAAGTTCCTTTTTTTTTTAGTAAGAGACTTGTTTTTCTCGTTGCGAAGTTGAGCGTGTTTTCAGGGGTGAAGTGGTAACGTTTTGACACTTCACGCTCTTGTTTCCGCTTTGCATTCTTGGGTTTTTTCGAGCCTTATTTTACCTTAATTTTATTATTTATTATTTTTATTTTTTTACCTTTTTTTTTTTTTTTTTCATTAAAAAAAAAAAAAAACCCTACCTCTTTATCCTTTTTATTATTTTATTTTTCAAATAAACTTGCATTTCCAAATTTTTCTTTTTAATAAAGAAAAAAAAATAAGTCCGTCGTTTTTTTGTTTCATTAATACGTAGATTTGAAAGTGTTTGAAAGACAATCGTTTATTTATTATTCGTGTTTTCAAACTTGTTTCTTTCATCTCTTTCTAGAATATCTTTCTACAAAATAAAAATATAATTTTTTTTTTCTTTCTTTCTTGTCTCTTGTCCTAGATTAAGTTCTATAAACATATTTCCTACTTTTAAATTTTTCACATCTCTTTATATAATCATTAATACATTTTTGTGTGATAACATATATCTGTATCTATATATATATATATATAAAAAAAACACACAAAATGGGAGACGATATCGAACTTTCCTTCGATGATACTTTTGAGGATCACTCCGTCGATTCCGATACTGCAATTTCTAGGTCAAACTCTTTTAAACTTAAAAAGGGAACCGATAGTCAAAGGAGAAAAGAGAAACGACGGTCAAAGGTTTGTTTTTTATTCAGTAGTAATAACCTTCTCTCACATATATATATATAATTATATATGTGAAAATCTGGATTAACATCTGGATAATTATTTTAGAGATCATTCTTGTTTTACCTCAATAACGATAACGATTTTTACTTATTTATATTTATATATATGTGTGTATGTTCATTCATCCTCCTTATACAAAAATATTCTCTTTAGCTTTGGTATGAGAAAACCACCAATTCTGCTGCTCAAAGCGATAGTGAAGCCAGCGTTGGCGCCCAGGAAACGATTCCAACTGCCATTGTTATAAAAAATATTCCATTCTCCATAAAACGTGATGCGCTACTAGCTACTCTTGTAAGTAAAAAAGAAAAAAAAATAATCTCGAATTGATTTACCTTTTTAATTATTTATTAACTCCATCATTTCATTCATTTCCGGATCAAATTCGTCAATGTTCCGATCCAATAAAAATTCTTTACTTCAAATGTTCACGTGCATATTTATATTTTAATCAGAATAACCTCGATATACCAAGACCGTATGCGTTCAATTACCATTTCGATAATGGTGTTTTTAGAGGGTTGGCTTTTGCTAATTACCGAACTCCAGAAGAAACAGATCTTGTTGTGTCCGCATTAAATGGGTATGAGGTTTCTGGTAGAAAACTTAGAGTTGAATATAAGCGTGTTTTGCCAGCTGCAGAAAGGGAGGCCAAAGAAAGAGAAAAGTTGGAAAAACAAAAGGCTGATAAGGAAAAGTTTGATCAAGAACCGTTGTTAATTAAACCTGAAAATGATTTGCTCGATAAGCCAAAGACAGACAGAAGCGAAAATGGAAAGGACAAGAGAGATTCCATGGTGAAAAGTCCTGGTAAATAATTGATGATAAGAATTATATTACTAGCAGATGTATGGGATATATTTATTGATTTATTTATATATATATATTTTTTAATGTAGTACCGGAACAACTCGATCTTAATGATCCAGAAACGTTAAAATTCTATGATCAAGTGATTATCTTCCGTGACGATAAAACGCGCGAGGAATTGGTATTTCCGAAAACACTTAGTATTCCCCATCGTCGTACTCTACATTTAATTGCTCAAAAGCTTCAATTGTACCACTACAGCGAGGGTGAAGGCGAAGATAGAGTACTAAAAATTGTGCGAAAACCAGCATCGGCCGCTATCAACATTAAGGTTTCTTTTAAACATTTTACATCTTTAAATTTTTAAATGAATTTTATTATAATTAGAGGTTTAACAAAATTTTTTTTTTCATCTAGCAAACACCTTCTAGAAATGGTTCGTTGGGTAGACGTTCGGCCGCGCAGTTGTTGGCAAGTACAGGTTTATCGGAGAGTCCCTCAAATAGATCCACAAGAGGTGATCATTCTCCACTGTCGCGTTCACCATTCAGAAAATCTTGGCTGTAAGTTAACATTTTATCATTTATATTCTATGGAGTTTATAATTATATTTTTAAATCTAATATAAACCTTGATGAATAGTTTAAACCTTAGCAATGACGGAACTCCAATCGTGTTTCCGATTAGACAACCGAGGGGACCAGATCCATCTCAGAACTTTGCTTATCGTCCTTCTCGACTACATGCATCTGCTATTCCATACGGAGTACCAGATGATGATGTGACGAACAATTATGAGCATAGAAAATCCGGGCTATTCGACGTGCATGCACCTACTTTCCAATCGATCGCATCGTAGTTACTGTTATTTGTAATAAATAGGCAATGACACTAACTATATAAGAGTTCATAAAACTTCATGAAATTTGAAAGCGACGTATGCATCTGTTATCTTTAGTATAATGTTTTTTTTTGTTTATGTTTTTTAATTTTATGACTTTTATTCGTCTGCAATGAAATTTTTTTTTATTTCCATTTATTTTCTTATTTTCTTTGTTTTCTTATTGTAGTTTTTTTTTTATTTTTTTTTTTATTTTTATTTTTTATTTTTATTAGAAAGTTTGGTGTTTCACTTTATATTATACACCACTCTGCTTTTTTTTCAATGTACTTTTGTAGTTTAACATATTTCAAATACATAGACAACTTTGCTTGAGGTTTATAAGTTAATTAGTTTATAAAAAAAAGAGATAACTATTATTTTCTGATCTTATGGAGAATTATAATTTTTTTCAAAAGACAATTTCATTACTTATTATATATATATATAAAAAAAAAAAAAAAAATTATTCCCCTATAAAAATAAATATTTCCCCCCTTCCCCCCTTTAGCTTTTTAAATCTATCATTTTTGTAATTTTTCACCTTTTTTTTTTTTTTCTTCACGTTTTATTTTTGACATTTTATAAAAAAAAAGAATTTTTATTTTCTTTATTGTTTTCAATAAAGATCAATAATTTGGACTTGCAAAAAAAAAAATGTTTTTTATTTATACATTATTTTTGCTCTTTATAGCAATGTTACACGCATTACGTAACCATATATTTAAAAAATATAAACGCCTATTTTATCGTCGTCAATTTTTGTAAGGTAACAATGTCAAACAAAAGAACAAAGGTACTTCTTATTCCTCAAGATTCGTTCCTCGTGTACATGAACGAAGACCTTTTTTTTTTTTCTTTCCACTTAGCTTTACTCGTTTTAAAAACATCAGGGAGTAACGGTAATAAGACCAATAGTATATGGTAATATCGCAACATTATTACCGCAAAAGAAGATTCCCGACTCTGACCATACGCACAAGTGGACAGTTTCGGTTAAAGGTTTAAATAATGAAGATATAAGTAGTTTTGTAAAGAAGGTGACCTTCAAATTACATGAAACGTACGCGAATCCTCAACGAGGTAAAGCCTAAAATGCATCACACCCATTTTTTTTAAAAAAAAAAGTCCAATTCGTCTAATTTTTTTTTTTTTAATTTGATAGTGGTTGAACATCCACCGTTCGAACTTACCGAAACGGGATGGGGAGAATTTGAATTAACGATAAAGTTACAGTTCGTTCCGGAAAGTGGCGAAAAACCGGTGATGCTTTATCACAACCTAAGGTTACATCCCTATGAAGAGGATGGATCTATATCTACGGCCAACAAGAACAAACCAGTGCAGAGCTTCCAATACGATGAGTTGGTAAGGACGATAATTTAATCTTTTTAAATTTTTTTAAATTATTTTTTTTAATACTTTATTAACCATCATCATTTATAATAATATTATTATTAGGTATTCACAGATCCAACGGAATATCTGTACCAAATATTTATACAACATCCTTCTTCGGGATTACAAACTCGATCTACGCCTAATAATCCATACAGTTTTGTGTTTATTTATTTATTTATTTTTTTATCATTTTACCTTTATTTTATTTTATACAAAACGATTTATATCATATTTAGGTGTACAAGCCGAAATAGATGAGATCCGTAAGATTGAAGAGGCGACGAAAAAAGTGCAAGAACAATTAGTTATATATAAGGAAAAATTGGAAAAAACTACCAAAGAATTGGATGAAGTTAAGTTAGAATTGGAACGAGTCAAAAAGTAGATCTTTTACTTTGGGTATGTATATGTTTTTATTATTTGTTCGTGTTTCAAAGAGTTACTAAAATTTTTGTTGTATTGAAATAACTATAATGATGGAATTGTTTTAATGTATAACACGTATACTCTTTAGAAAAAGTTCTTTACTTTATTTAATATAAAGACATTTATTAATTTAGCTAATCAATAACACTAATGAAAATTGATTGAGGGAAGTATGTAATAAAATGCTATCATAAAATGGAATAATTTTTATAATTTTTAGAATTTTCAATACAATATACAAAATATACAGTTCGTTATTTATAAATATAATGTGAATGAATATTGACAACTACTTTACATGAACATATCATTGTACCCCTAGAAATACGAAGAAAAATAATTAGATATAAAAATAGAATCACAAAAATTAAAAAGATTAATAAAAAAGATTAATATTATGTTAAAATGTACCGGAGGAGAAACCTCATCGTTATCAGGTTCACCGCTGATTTCATATTTGAAAAAAATATATATATATGTGATTAATTATTTTAATATATCTATAATAGAAGATGATGATTTCTTTGACGTGTTTTACCTAAATGGATCTCCTCGCGGCCGACTAAATCGACCTCGTCCTGGAGCAGGCCCCCCAGGTCCAAATGGTACAATTGGATCAAATCTAGCACCAGGTGGAACGGATCCTCTATGATATAGAAATTAGATTAGTAAAATTTCGAACAATTTCCAATTAATAACATATGCACATACCTTGGAAGCGGTTGCGGTCCACCACGGCCACCAGGAGGAACTCGTTGTCCAAATATAGGATGATCTGGCCCTACATACATCCCATTACCTCCAACACCTCCTAAGGGTTGAATTCCACCACCGCCAAATCTAAATATAAACGAAGAAAAATGTTGAGAATGAATTACGGGTTTCATTTAATGACAATTTGTAATCTAACTACCTTGGTGGCCCATAAATTGGATTCGAGCCAAGTGGATCTAAATCATCTTGACCAACGCTGAAGGGATTGAAACTAAAGGGGAAAAAAACATAAACATTGGATTAAAGAATTTGTCGACTATATTATTAACTAACTTATACCTTGATGGTTCATCACCACCGTATGGATCATCGAAGATCGGTGGTTGAAAGCGTGGTGGTTGACGTGTTGGAACGCGTAAGGGATCATTATAAGGTTCTTGTTGACGAGTACTAGGATTAGAAGTGGTCGCTGACCTATTAATAAAAGATAGATATGTATTATAGTTAAATATTCAAGTTCGCCCGATCAATTAATAAAAAAATTATTATATTATTTCACATACGTAGTTCTGGTTTCTTCATATCCAGGTTTATTTAACCCTGGAATTAATTTTTGCACAATATTTATTTTATAAAGGTTGATCAGATCTTTGATACGACTTGTTGATATATACCCATTAATCATAGGTTCTTCATGATACTTTTCGGATGTGTATGGGAAAAACGATGGAGAAGTATAGTCATCCGTGATTAATTCCAATGTTGTTGTCTTATTATCCTACATTAATTAACACAATGATTTGGATTCATGAAAAAATTTTTTTTCGATCGATTAAAAAAAGTACAAACTTTTTTTTTTTAATTTACCTCAATTCCCATACCGTGAATTATAAACTTATTAGATAATCGCATGCATTTGATCAAAAATGTGAATGATGATTGTGGGTGTTTGTATCGAAAAGCATATGAATTAGGACCTTGTTCATTCCACTCTTTCGGTAATCCTATAATATTGCCTTCAGAATCCCTTTTAATAATGTCACGATCAGCCTCTAAAAAATTTAGTTTTTGTGTCGAATTCAAACAATAATAATAAATAATAATAATAATAATAATAATAATATAACAATTATATTTATAATTAAAAACCTTCCAAGCTGTCTTCCTCGCCAAGCCCAACAAGTCGAAAACCTACGGCTTGCATAATTGCATGAGTTAATGCTGCCAAAGCGTCTTGACTTGAACCAAGTACTGTAATAGAACCTTCCCTCCCTTCTGATGGTTTTAGATTTTTGTCAATAATTGACAAGACAGCTTCAGGAGCTAACACATTATCAACTGAAGTTTCCATTCCTACTCTTTAATGAATGTGAGAAAATAGCAAGACCTTATTTAAATACTTTTTGCATCTTTATTATATAATCATGGCGTAATTGATTTGAATTATATCATTATTATCTTCAATTATCACGTGACAAACATAATTTCAATGTAAGTATAAATTGATTAAATTAAAATATATGAAAATGCTTATAACAAAAATTCAATTATAAATATTCATAAATTTATGAATATTTTTTATAATAAAAAAATTTTTAGTAATTTAATTAAATTAATTATTATTGAATTAGAATTAATTAAAATTATAAGCATTTTTTTATACTATCAAACTTATTTATTAAATATAAAAATTGCAAATAAGTAAAAATTCTTTTTTATATAAATATATATATATATATTTTTAATAATAATTAGATTTAAAAAAATTTAAAAGAATATATATATAAATTCATAAATCTATAAATTTATTTTATATTTTATTTTAAAAAAGTTTATTATAAATCTTTTAAAATATAAAAAACTTACTTAAATATATTTTATAATTAAAAATTTTTTATTATTTTATATAAAAAAAGTATAAAATCTAATCAATTTTCTTTAAAGTTATATAGTTACAATAATCTATATAATTATATTAATTATTTATTTTTAAATTGACATTTTTATATAAGTATATTATAATAACTCTAAAAATTTAATTAATTATAAATTAAGTACTATTCTTTAAATTATAATTAATTATAATTTAATTACTTTATTTATAGTCTTATTTTTAATTTGAATTTATTTATTAAAAATAAAACTATATTTAGCTTATAATGTAAAATTATATATTTTTTTTATATTTTTATATTTTTTTATATAAAATATTTATAAAATTTTATTATATTTAAATTACTTATATTTTAATTAAAAATTTTATTAGTTAACATAAGACTATATACACTTAGCAAAGAATATATACTGTCCATTTGCTTAATAATTGAGTTAATACTGATTAATCTTTATATAAAAGTCTAAATAAAACAAATATCAGTGTAAATTTTTTAGTTAAAATCATTCTAAACTTAATAATAGTATTTATTTCCTAGTATTAAAATATTATATATTATATATTATAGGTTAGATATCAAATATTAATAGAATACTAAATGTAAAAATGATTAAAGATAATTATTATTAATACTGGTAAAATTATAAAATAAGTAATTATTAAAATTAGTAAACATTTGATTCTAATACACAATATATATATATATATTACTTATTAATTATTTACAAATTTTATATTAAAAAATAAATAATAAAATAATATAAATTTAAGATTTTTGCCTACATTAATAATAATTATTTAATTTATTAATAATAGTTAAAAAATATTTTAATATTATATTTATTAAAAGTATAATTAAAATTGCTTATTTAAATTTATTTTAAATTTAATAAAACATTTTAAACTTTAGTTTTACTAATTTTTAACTTTGATATAATTTTATTTTTTCTGAATTTTGCAGATTTTTAATAAGATTTAATCTAATTTTATTAAATTTTATTTTTTTATCATTTAAATGACTTGCAAAATCTCTAGATTTTATTTAATAATCTTAAATATAATATAATAACTTAATTTTTTATACAAATATTTTAAAAATCTAATAGTTATAAAGTATTTTTATTATATTAATATAAAAAAATAATATAACATATCTTTAATACAAATATAGCTAAATATAACTAAATTAAATTTTAAATAATAAAAATATATAATAATCTTTTTTTATTAAATAAAAATATTTGTTAACTACATCTACATTTATTATAATAAAAATAAATTTTTAAATGTTAATTTAGTTACATTTTTTATTAGTCATTTAATATTTTAATTTATTTAAACATATTTATAAATATTAGATAAATTTATTAGATAATTAAAACTATACTATTTTTTATTTTAAAAGTTTAATATAATATAAACAAAAAAATAAAAATTTTATAATTATATAAAAATTAATAAAATTGCATTTAAAAAAATACTGTTTCTTAAAGAT